CCCAAGCTACAGGTCTCAGGTCATAGGTGACTCTCGGTTGCGCTTTTTCTAGTAAACCAGCCTCGAGACCTATGAAAATTTTTACTTTGAGTTCTCAGTTGAGCCTTGAGCGCACTGCTTGAGTGTATCGCTGAGTTGAAGTCACCACACGCATGCATCCTCCCAGAAGCCTGGGTGTTCAAGTGTGTGTGTGCGCGTGCGCGTGTGCGTGCGTGTAAGTCTTGATTCTAAGCCAAAGGTTCGTGGATGTTGCATTTCGCTAAGATTCATGGATGCTACAATATGCAGACAGCAGGGGGGCAGTGAGCCTTCTATCATCCACTGCCCAACGAAGACGGTGGTGAAGCAATCTGGGACGCCAGATTGTGTACCTGCGTTGTACAGAGTTAAGCTGACGTCAGTCCCGAAACCTGTTAAAGGCCACTGGTCTTCATGCCACAGTTTTGAATTGCCTCCTTCTCCTTCTCGACTCCCTTCTGTGGCCCCTTGTACCCAAGTAGTGGGCGGGCACTTAGGCGGTCGCAACCGCCGACGTGCACCCTGCCCCTTGCTGCCCGCTGTCCCTCCTTCTTCCGCTCTCTCGTCTTCTCCTCTTCTTTCCCTTCTCCTTTCCCGCTGAGTGCGGTCGTGTTTCTTGATGGGGCTTCACTTGCTCTCGCATGCTTGCTCGTGACAGGTTTGTTGCTTTGCAACCTCGACCTGGTGCTCTCCTGTTGCTGCTGCTGCTGCTGCTGCTGCTGCTGCTGCTGCTGCTGCTGTGGTGGCCAACAGTACTTCCTGCCTCTGCTCCTTCTTCGGGCCGCGCCTTTTTGCGCTACTGGCCAGTACTGCTGCGTTCCTCCTTGTCCTCGGCGTGGCCACTTTGCCGTTTCTCTCGCTCCTGATTCTGTTCTTCGGGCCGTGCTCTTGTGCGCTACTCGCCCGTCCTGCGGTGTTTCTGCTGTGTCTCAGCATGGCCTTTCGCCGTTTCTCCTTTCCCCGCGCCTTCTTCGGGCCGCGCCTCTGTTCGCCATTGGCCTGTCGTGCACCCTTTTTGCTTTGTCCACGGCTTCTTCTTCGGGCAGCGCCTTGATGCGCTATTGGCCAGTCCTGCTGCGTCCCTCCCGTGTATACAGCTTGGCTTTTGCCCGTTACTGTTATCTCTCGCTGCTTGTTCGGGCCGCCCCTCTGCGCGCCATTGGCCTAGTCGTGCTTCCCTTTTGCTTTGTCCTCGGCGTGGCCCCGGCCATATTGGCCAGTCCTGCTGCATCCCTCCCCGTTACTCTCGCTGCTTGTTCCGGACGCGCCGCTGTGCGCCGTTGGCCAGTCGTTCTCCCCTTTTGCTTTGTCCTCGTGGCCCTCGACCATTTCACCCTTCTCCTTCGGGCCGCACCATTTATGCGCTATTGGCCAGTACCTGCTGCATCCCTCCCTTGTGCTCAGCTTGGCTTTTGGCTGTTGCTCTCGCTGCTTGTTCGGGCCGCACCTCTGTGCGCCACTGGCCAGTCGTGCTTCCCTTTTGCTTTGGCCCTCGGCCATGTTGGCCAGTCCTGCTGCATCCCTCCCTTGTCCTCAGTTTGGCTTTTGGCCGTTACCCTCGCTGCTTGTTCGGGCCGCGTGCCATTGGCCCGTCGTGCTCTCCTTTTGCTTTGTCCTCGTGGCCCTCGGCCATATCACTCTTCTCCTTCGGGTCGCGCCTTGATGCGCTATTGGCCAGTCCTGCTGCGTCCCTCCCGTGTCTACAGCTTGGCTTTTGCCCGTTACTGTTATCTCTCGCTGCTTGTTCGGGCCGCCCCTCTCCGCGCCATTGGCCTAGTCGTGCTTCCCTTTTGCTTTGTCCTCGGCATGGCCCTCGGCCATATCACTCTTCTCCTTCTTCGGGCCGCGACTTTCTGCGCTATTGGTCAATCCTACTGCGGTCCTCAGCTTGCCTTTTGCCCGTTACTGTTTTATCTCTCGCTGCTTGTTCGAGCCGCCTTTCTGCGCGCCATTGGACCGTCGTTCTCCCCTTTTAGCTTTGTCCTCGGCATGGCCCTCGGCCATTTCACTCTTCTCCTTCTTCGGGCCGCGCCTTTTATGCGCTATTGGCCAGTACCTGCTGCATCCCTCCCTTGTCCTCAGCTTGGCTTTTGGCTATTACTCTCGCTGCTTGTTCGGGCCGCCCCTCTGTGCGCCATTGGCCTAGTCGTGCTTCCCTTTTGCTTTGTCCTCGGTGTGGCCCTCGGCCATTTCACTCTTCTGCTTTTTCAGGCCGCGCCTTTTGTGCGCTATTGGCCAGTCCTGCTGCATCCCTCCCTTGTCCTCAGCTTAAGTTTTGCCCGTTACTCTCATCTCTCGCTGCTTGTTCGGCGCGTCTCCATTGGCCAGTCGTGCTGCGTTCCTCCGTTGTCCTCGGCATGGCCGTTTGCCGATGTTTGCCGTACGTATATCTTCTCCATCGGGCCACGCCTTTTTGCGCTATGGGCCACTACTGCCGCCTTCCTCCTATATAGTATATTGCTCGATCCAGCTTCGAGCCATGCCTTGCCGCGCTTTTGGCAAGTGTTGCTGCGTGCCTCCTTGGTCCTCGGCGCGGCCACTTTGCCATTTCTCTCGCTTGTCCCCTCCTCTCCCTTCTCCCCTCTCCCCTCTCACCTCTTCCCTCCCTCCATCTCTCCCCTCTCTCCTCCCCTCGCCCCCTTTTCTCTCCTCTCTCTCTCTCTGCCCCCTTTCTCCTCCCCCTCTCTCTCTCTCTCTTCCCTCTCTCCGCTGTCCCCTCGCACTCTGCCCCCTCTTTCTCCCTTGTCTCCTCTCCCCTATCCCTTTCTCTTGCCTCTCGCCCCTCTTTCCTCCCTCTCTTCCCCTCTCCCCTCTCTTCCCTCCCCTTCTTCCTGCCCCCCGCTCTCCCGTGTTCATTGGCACCTTGGCTGCATTATTACCGCGTTTTGAACCATTCGCAACAAAAGCCCGTGACGTTTTCGGAGCTGCCCTGAGATGCGGGGAGGGGGGGTGCGGGCAGCAACAGGTTTTCCTGGTTGCCTACATTACCACCACCACCGAAAATGCTTGCATTCAGCAGTCTTAACTTGACTGTGGGTTTCAGGTTCGTGATCTGATAGAGGCTTTCAGCGCGACAGATGCATTTGGTGAGCCCATTTCTCCGTGTGTGGTCTGTTGGGGTGTGGGTGGGTGCTTGTGTGTGCGTGTGGGTTGCGTGCGTGTGTGTGTTTGTGTGTCTGTGGGTGGGTGTCGGTGTGTGTGTGTGTGTGTGTGTGCGTGTTTGTGTGTGCGACACCACGCCGCACCTGCAGCTTCCGAGGCGAAGCACCTTCCGCGGTTGCTGCTGGACAAGGTGCTGAGGATCGGAAACGACCGGGAGCGTGTCGTGCTGGCTGACTTGACTTCAGGGTTCACCTGATCAGAGCTTGCACATCTTGGCATCGTCGCTGGCGATTTACGGTGTCGGCCTTGGGACGCTTTTGCTCATGTCACCCTGAGTTAAGACATCAGGGGGGGCCAAGCAAGTGCTCAAAAGTGCGAGCGCTCGGCCACGATTTTTTAGCAGATTCAGCTTAGCGTTAACAGCTTTGCTCTCCGTAGGCCCCGAGGCCGCCTTCGGTCCGGGTCACGAAGCCTTTAGAAATGCTCACCACGCACTCACTTGGACCTGGGTAGCCTCTATGACTTTATGTGTTCCTACACCCCCGACCCCCCAACATCTCCATGATTGAGGCTATGAGCGACTGGTTGCTATGATCTTGCGCAGCCTCGGCATGACGAGGAGGGTGCTGCAATCTTCGCCAGCCTGTGCGCTCTGGGAAGTGGTCGGAGGATGCCCTCAACCTTGGCTGCCATGCTCTCCCTTTTCGTTGCTTTGCGTGGTGCCAGGGCCTCTTTCAGGTCGGGTAAAACAGGAGTCGCCCTGCAGTGGTGGTTGTCGAGGTCCAGAAGCTGAAGGACCGAGAGACTGCCAACAGGACTGCACTCGAAGCAATGACCTGCAAGAAGAGTGACCGTTTGCAACTGAAGAGATGCTTCTGCTTCATGCCAAGGCGCCTGAATCCATTGCTTGCTTTCTGTGGAGGCTGGCAGACGTTTTGAAGCCTGGCGTGGACTTCCTCGGCAAGTGGATGGGGCTGTTCCTGGTGCGCCGGTGGTGTGAACGTAGAAAGTGCCATGCATGTCAGGCTTTCTGAGATCAAGTCGCGTTTCGAGCAATCTGCTTTGCTACTTGCTAGATCTGCAGCTTGAAATGTCGACAGCATTTCTCTTGAGGCTCCCCCGCTGGTCTCCCTAGATGCCTCCATCGCTCGACTGCCATCCTACAGTGGCCAGCTCACTTTGTGACCGTCAGAAGTGCAACGATTAGCTCCGTGCCGGATGCATGAAACATCATGAAACTATAAGGTGGGGGAGTTTGGGCAAACACATCTTTGTTGCTGGGCCTTGGATGGGGTGCGACGCCGGCCTCTCAGTGAATGTGCCTGTGCTATATAGGATGTTTGTTGAACGCCTACAAAGGCACAGTGCTGCTGCTGCTGTCGCCTCTTCCCTGGTGCCCCAGTCTGCCAAGCCTGCTACTTGTGCTACATCGTGGGGGGCTCAGTTGCTGGAGTCGAGGCGATCCCACACGGAAACGTGCCAAGCAGCTGATGAAACTCACTGAAGGTTTCTAAGCCGTTTAGAGAATGCATGAGGTTGAGCAGGGATAGTCCTTGATCCGGGTGATAGTCGAACTACGAGGGAGCACCGCGAGACGATTTAGACGATATCATTCTGTGATACTGATCCTGACTGCTTCCGCCTGACCTTTCCACAAAAACGCAGCCGTACTCATAAGATGTTCATGGTGCTTGGTCGCACTCGCTCAGCTGGTTTGCAGGATGCCTGCCAAGTTCGTGGCGGCACCTGCTAAGCAGGTCGCCAACGGCGACAAGCCGGTGGAGAGCCAAGTTCCGGTGCGTGTGCATGGTTGAGCATCTCTGCGCACTACAAGGTCTCTCAGGACGAGGCGGTACGCCGTTCCTGGGTGTTGCTGGGTGCCGCTGGATTTTTGGGAATGTGGAGGGCTCAGTCACTGGATTGACCGAGAGCGTAAGTGCCGCCTCGGCTGTCGTGGTCGTTTAGGAGCAGCTGCTCTGCTGCTGCATCGCCGTACTACTGCTTCAGCATGCTTCAGCCATGATGACTATCTATCGAATCTATCGTTCTGTTGGGAAGGAACTTGGTGCTAAATCAAAAGAAACAAGGTCACCCCTGCACATAGGAATCAGGGAGAAGACTTCGAGGGTTGTTCAAAAGTGGGACTTCCGCTGAACTACTCACTGTCATAGTACAAGGTAGCTCTTCATTGTACCAAGATGAGAATGGCAGAAAGAACAGAACAAATTCGTTATGGTTGAGAGGTAGTGAAGTACACTCTTTAGCACGTGCCGGAACATGGCTAAAAGATTCAGCATTCGTGGAATTCGGAGATGTTCGTAAAAGCTCAATGAGATTCATCGGAGAATCAGCCGTATTTAAGACCAAGGTTAAGATGTAAACGGCTTCGTGCAACGTGTCTCTTACCACACCCTAGATCCGAAGCCCGAAGTTATGCTCTTGGAACAAAAGGCTCCAGTTTGCGAGCCGCTTTCTCAGCGAGAACAGTTCTGCCCATTGCCATGTGATCATGAGACTCGCTCCGACTCGCTCCTACAGCAACATCGCACTCAGTGCAAACTTCCCTCTCCCTCTCGCTCTCTCTCTCTCTCTCTGTGCGCGTGTGTCTGTGTCTGTGTCTGTCTGTCCGTCTCTGCGCACTGGCACTGCATGCACCGAAATATGCAATTTCAAGCTCCGCTTGCCACGCCTTGCCTTGTGGGCTTTGTGTTACTCCAACACCCTCAAGAGATTGTTCACTGCAGACCCCGTGTGTTGCGGACCTGGGGTTACCTAAACTACTGAATATGCCGACCCTGATGAAAATTGCTATTAGTGACACCATTGTGAGACAACCGGTTCCGATGACGGCAGAAATCCTTTTCCGATCAGAGGTCAGTCTGGTGTGTCTCACAATCCACATCCTTTTGTCGACCCCCCCTTCTAAAATCTGACGATACATGACGATACTGTCACGAAGGTGGCAAACACCCTGCCTTTACTTCACGGTCTAGTGGTCTAGATACCCAGTGGTTCTCACTCCGCTGGTACTACTGTCCAGCATGGCGTACATGCAGAATCATGGCCCGACCGAGCCTCAAACTCCAAAACATACAGAACGGAAGCTCTTGAAAGGCTGGGGGAATCAGTCCCGGGGACGGGCCCGCCTGGCTTCGCTTCAGCGAAAGTCGCTGGCTGAGGGCTTGTTCTCCGGCTTTGCCCTTGGTGCTACATCGGCCACTTGGGTGCTGCCCTTCACGCTTCCACGCTTCTTAGCCTGCTGAATATGCGAATGAGGGATGTGTCGATGCCTTCGGCCAGGATGCTCTGCGAGATGAGCACCACGGTTTCTTCCTTCGCTTTGGCGAAGCTCCTGCCGGACGCCGTGCAGGACCTGTGCCAGTGTAGAAGCTGGGACATGTCCGGCATCTTGCTACGCTGCTCAGCGCGTGCTTCACCCCCTGGTGATCTGCGCCGTGTCTTCCAATCTGGCGCCAGACTGGAATGTTTTTGACGACTTCCGAGGGCTTTGGATCAAGGCCGCACTTTTGAGCTTTGAGCTGCACGGTGCCAGATCACGATTCGTGGGCCCGACGGCACCTTATTTCGATGAAGGACGCGGAGCAATTGCCTCAGGCTCTCGTTCTGTGCGAATGCGGGTGTCCTGACAGTTGCTTCGAGGTCGGAGACAAGCTTTTCCAGTGGCTTCCCGCGGCTGTCACGGGCGAACGCCTCAGATTCCCACAGCCTGACCTTGAGTGTGGCCACATGCCATCCAGTTTCAGCTGCCGAAGCAGAAGGCCTCGCTTACCTAAAGGCTCGTGAGAACCATCAATGAATCAAGCGGTGCCATCCTGAACGAGGAGTCTCACATCGCATTCGTTCGGAATTTTTGTCGGTTGCCTCTCGTAGCTCTGTCAAGTCTTGTAAGACATCAGAGGTACAAGTAGCCACCCAGTACCGAGGATGTCGTCTAATGGCTTCTGAAGCAGAAAAAAATCCATGCTCGGACAGTTACTTCCCGTCGGCGGGAACGAGTTGCTGAATTGCGGCTATGCCAGGTCTTGGCGTGAGAATGTATTCCACCACCCCTCTTTGGCTGGACAATGCAGAGGATTTCAAGTGCGTGCCATGGCTGCAGCTTCAAGAACCAGTGCAGTCCCAGAAAGCTGCTAACAACTCCAGGTTTCCAGGTGTGAGTCGTAGAATCCTGTCAGGTGTTGGCCACGTGCTCGGCATCCGGCTGTCACTCGGCAAAGTCGACTCAAACTTGCCGTCCTTGGGAGCTTGGCGGCCCATCGGAGGCTTCTCTATTTTGCTCTCGACGATTGCTGCGGTGAACCAGAAGTCCCCACTCGCCGTTCCACCTCCGGCCGGGGCCCCACAACGCACAGCACGTCACGGTCTCTCTATCTCTGCAGCTATAGAAGAGCTCTGCCTGGTGCTCTGAGCTCTCGCTTCCGCTGCTCCACCGCTCGGTGATGTCGGCTTTGGGAATCGAGGGCTCTCAGGCCAGGCGAGGGATGGCGTGTCGGCTTCAGCCGGTGCTCTGCGCGCGTGCTTTGCGTCTCGGAGGCCATCGGCCCGGAATGTGATCCCAAACTAGCGGTGGCTTCCATTCTCATCACAGGGTCGAGGCCTCTGCGGTGTCCTGAGTGCAATCCTCTCTGCCTGCAAACTAAGATGCATCGGTGCTTCTCTGGGAAACGCATTGCTGGAAGCATTTCCAGCAATCTTCAAGTCGTGCTTCCGGCGAGTTTTCAGAAGGCAAACTGAAGGCAACTGCAAGCCAGAAGAGTGCAAGTGACCGGAGGTCCTCGCCATTGGTTCGCGGTGTCGCTATGGGTTGCTCTGCACACTCCATCGGCACAGCTGGGCTGATCTCCCTTGGGGACCGAGTTCGCTGCCGATGTGAGCTTTTGGAAAGGGTCGTGGGGAGACCCCAGCTTGAGGACACAGACGCAGCTGCGATTTCTGGAGCCTCGATGTCCGGACCTTGTTGACTCGCCCGAGGTGTCCACGCAACGTATGCTCATTGCTTAGACGAGATCCTTCTCCGCAATATCGAGGTGCCTGGCTGGTACGATGCACACGCTGGCCAACGCTTCAGTGATGCAGCGGCAGCTGCACCATGCTGCGCCCAGGACTGCAGCTGTCTGTTCTCTTGTTGGCGTCGGCAAGGTGCTCCAAGTTCCTGGCGTGGTGTCCGGCATCCGCTCCCTGGTCAGGGCCCCACGCCCCAACGGTCGGAGGGAACCTTCGAAGTTTAGGAGTCAAGGACTTCAATAACTTTCCTGAAGCAGGGCCCTTTCTATGAGAGGCAATCACAGACGAGCGAGGAGGTTGCCGAAGCTTCGAAAGGGCATGCCACTTGCCGACTTTTTCATGGTTGTATCATGTCGCATGCACATGCATGCACGCACCGCGTCCTCCTAGTCGGCCGACCAGCACTTCGGGCAAGTCTTACAGCCACTACGTGCTACTACGAGTGAAACAAAGATTGTTACAACGATTCCATTGGCAGGTGCTTTGGACTAACGGGGTGGGGCACAACGAAGCTCTGTTACCCTGGGCGGTGCAAGTATGTCGGTATATCAGTACTGAGTGGGCTGGCTGAGTGTTTTTTTGTTGGTGTTTCTGTACACGCGCAGCAGCATTGAGTTTTGCGTCCAAGCCCGCCGACAAAACTTCGCGCAGTGGTATAGTGAGTGCACGTATCAGAGGGAACAGCCAACTTTCACAGCTAGGGGGTTTGCAATGTTTATTGGTTGTGAGGACGGGCTGAGGCCACCCTTTTCTTAACTTCTTTGGACCATTGGCAGACCGAAAGTTGGTCCTTCTTTCCGCGCGGTGTCTAGATAGACCATTTGCACGCACGTTGTCTGGTTTTCGTGTGACAGACGACTCTGCCGCTGCCGGACTTCACTTGGCTTAGCTTCCCGAAAGAGGCTCCTGACATGCGAGTTTCAGGTGGCACCTGTTTCGCGGAGGATCGCCGAAGTACCTGAACATCGTTTGTTGCTGAAGTCTAGTTCTATAGAGGAGATCCACATGTTCTGCCATGACGAGCAAGGGAACAAGTAAGACTTGGCTGCGAAGCTTGGAAGGTGCCGTATTATTCGCGCACCTCAAATTGAGCCTGTAGTTACGATAGAGAAGGCTGCGCTTGATTGACCCCTCCGACTGGAACCATGATCAGAAAGAAGCGAAGGTGAAGGGCCTGTTGGAGTCCCGTTCAGGTTCATTGTTCGCAAGTGCTCGGACAGATCTGATTAACTGTGTTTGGGCCATGTCTCATTGCCTTGGCGGAGCTGGGTGGCAGGGTGATCGTGGCCCGAGTCTGGAGGAGGGGGTGGCGGGTGGCGGGATTTTTCCCAAAGAGATGTTGTTGAGGGCCTCGTTGTGATTCGGACAAGAAACGAGGGGAGACAGGAAGGTGGAACGTCAGTCGGTCGATCATCGCTGGGCGGATGGTCAAGCCTCAGAAAGCAAAAAGAGCCGCTGTGCCGCCATGGCAACCCGAATTATACCAGCTTGTGGAGCTGCTGCGCCAGGTCGATCAGAGTCAACGGAGGTTTCGCGACCCGCTGTGTTGAGAGGCAGAGCGAGAAACTGATGCCAGGGGGTACCTCGTTGAACCCATGGATCACAACGGGAGAGCCAAATGAGCTGGTCCTAGAGCACGAAAACCAACAAACTAATGCCAGCGTGCATCTTATGCCCTTCGGCGGGCAAGGAAAACCCCGAGGGCCTCTCTCGAAGGGATTTGTTACTCCCAAGAAGATGTACAATGCATCTTGTCACGTGAGAAGCCCACATGAATCAACAGCACCGGGTCTAAGAAACGTGCAAGCTGTTGCTTTCCTTGCGACTCGTAGGCGAGTGATCAGGCCCGAGGCGTTTTTGAATTGCCAGTAGTTCGGTTTGAGTATTTGGAGATTGCGTCAAGCTTCTGCTGTTCCTCTTGTTCAAGTAATCAACAAACCCAAGCCGCAAAAAGGAGGGTAGGAAGTGCAACGGAAAAAGTCCTGCACGCTTGCTGAAGGCATGCCTTCCTGCACTGGCCTAGAAGGCAGAACTCGGCCTAGCACTTGGATTCGTTGAGCGCAGACCCTGCGAGATATCCATACCAGTCATGAACTCGGGTTCGTTTCACGATGGTGCCGGCATTGACAGTAAGGTCTTTGGACGAGTATCTTGCTGGACGGTGAAGATATGTCTGAAGTCGATTTTCCAACAGTTCTCCGTGTGGGGAGCAACCCCATATTTCAAAGCTACCAGGACTGTGCCGCACGTCATCCATCGTACACTGCTTGAAGGTCTGCAGAGTCTTTCGACGATAGAGTGGCCCAGGTCCGATGCACCAAAAAGGCATCAACATGCAGAATCCCTGCGTGTGTACGACTCACACTGACTTTTAATTGAGTCTGGCTGACACCAGCCTGGACGGTCTTGTCCGATTCCTCCGCCAGCGGTGTGGAAAGCTCGACGCGTCGCCTGAGCAAAGGCCGACCCTCACACCTGTGGAGATCATCTGAAAAGATGGGCAGAGCAGAGAAGCGAGGAGAGTCTGAAGGTCGCAGGGTGTCATCCCGTGGACTTGGCTCGAAGGCGGTGTGAAAGGTGTGCTAGGAGAAGGGAATCCAGAATGCTCGGAGCAGACCGCCAAGGCAAAGTGTTGCATGCTTCCATGAGTCTGACATTTGCCAAAGTTTTGAGCAGGCAGCAACTTGATGAAGGGAAACCTTCCGGATCAATGTGCAGCTGTACCTAGCAGGTGCGCATGTTGCTGGAAAGCTGCAGCATGCTTAATTGACATCGCGGAGGCTCTGTGCAAAGCAGAACCGAAGCGCAGTTGCAGATGCGGAGCGGCGGGTGCGCTTCCAGGCCACGGAGTGGAGAGCGCGAAGCCCTCTTGCTGGACGCTGGACTCTGTACCTGACTGCAAGGAGCCGGACATCATCGAAGTCGTCAGCTGGAAGGATGCAACACACCTCATGCAGTACAAAGGCAAAAAGAAGCTTGAAGAGGACAGCTCTGGGTGTGAGACCCATGTCGAGTTGAGCGGGTTGCATATGTTGGAGTGGGGTGTCGGACACATATTCTTTCATGTTGCGCAATTTGGGGGCAGACAGCCCGGGGAGGCCACTGTCAATAAGATGCGCTGAATTTTGCACTTGACTCTATTCCACAAAATGCAAGGAGGAGTTCATGCTTGGTACTCTATCTTCCCTTCCTCATCGTTTCGCTTTGATGGCAGCCTTGATGCCCATGGCCGCCCGTAGAAAGATGAGTTCGTACAGTGGAGTCCACTTGCCAAGCACCTGTCACAAGCGACTTAATCCCAGGTTGTCCGTTTTGCAATCGGGATCGTCGACACAGTGATGTGAGTTTACGGTGCCCATGCCTGAGTCCGCGTCTCAGATCGAAGATGAGTCAAGCAAAGTCACAGCATGGTGTTTGATGCTCAGGGTCGCTGCATGCCTGCTTTCGAATTGACAGCTTCTCTGGTGCTGAGCCAGCGTGTTCAAGCTGTCCATGAACACTTAGTTCGTGGATCATCGCTTCCCCTGCCTAGTCCTGATAGAAGGGTGCTGGCTCTCCGAGAGACCTTGCCAGATACCTCTCGGGATTTGGGCAGTCCGGCTGTTTGCTTGGACGGCCGCAATACCTCCTGAAACCGGTCTTCCGTGGTCCTAGTGCCATGCAAGGATTAACCAGAGCTGCGAGGGATTTTCGGAGGCCTGAGAAGGCAGATCCAAACTCAGAAATTTGGATGTCAATTCACCCTCGCTGTACAGCATGCATTGTCCCTAGTGGGGAAGGTGAGCACTCGCGGATTCGAGCAAAAGAGTTGCCGCACGGAGCCCGACAAGAGACCTTGTCGATAGATGGTCCAACGTCTCTCGACAATTGCAGGGCCCTGGCTCACCAGGTAAGGGCTTGGTGTAGTCAGAAGCCAGTAGTAAGGAAGCGATGGATCTGCCGAGACCTATCGTCATGGACTCTGAAGGCTAACGCACTTCGTCAGAGCCTGCACGACAGCACGGTGTGTGGTGTCAGGAGATGGATTGAAGACAGGCCGCGCCCTGCTCGGGCGCCTTTTGCTTGTGGGCAGCGCCCTCACACCGGAGGGCCTGGAGCCCAGGATGCGCAGTGTGGAGCCGCTGCATCTCTGTCATGTTCGGCACGATGAGGCCTACTCAATCTGGGTTGGACGGCTTCTGAGTTTGCCAGGCCGGTAGCAGCTGACCACGAAGATGTGACAGGATTTAGTGAGAGTCCAACGAGAGCAATGGCAATGTCTCAGGAAACCAACTCTGCGTAGTCGTGTAGCAAGGGAAGAGCCGAGATAGCCCCCCAAAGCCCCCCACTTTCTGACACGTGCGCTGAACTCTGCTTGCTCTATGCCGGTGCCCTCGTGTTCCCTGCAGGCCTTTGGCTTCCCTGTCGTCAGAGCCGATTGATTTGAAGGGCCACTCGAGATGCCAGAAAGTGAAGAGCCCTCTGAGACCAAAGCGTGTCCATTTCCAGGCTGGCATGAAGTTCACCAGCTACCCTCGCCACACTTTAACGAGTCACCAACATGCATGGCCCTTGGAGGAACCCGATATCATCGAGGTGCCCAGCTGGAAGGATGAGACGCGCCAGATGCACTACAGGGCACAACCTTCCGAGGACCTGACCGGCCTTGAAGTGCAACTGCGCATGTGTTTGTGTCTGTGTGTGTGTTTGTGTTTGCTCAGTGGACTGCACTTGTCCGAAAGCATGGCGTGCTCTCGCCCCTAAAGTTCCGGAAAACCATTGTCACCAGCAACGGCACAGTGTAACGTGGAGCTTGCTGCGGCTTGAAATTAAAACGCTCACTTCAGTTGCTGGCCCTCCCCCCAGGAATCTTGTAATTCGATGCGGCGATTGCTTACAAGTCCTGTTTTTGTTCTTGGAGCCTTACCGTCACATCCTGTATTCGCTGGAACTCGGTGACTCGGGAGGAGGATCTCCTGGAAGAGTCTGTGAAGCTCTTGCTGCGGACCGCGAAGCGTTTCCTCTCTTCACGTGTCGCATTTGCAGCTGCCTCTGCAGCTGCGATGACCGGCATGGTGTCTCGGTTGCATCCCAGCTAAGTGAATAGCTAGGCGTCTCAGTGCCGGTTCGGGTGTAGAAGACGAATCCGATAGGATGAAGAGCATTGCGGCATTTGTTGCAGCGGGCCCTGCCAACTTTCTTAATTGTAGTATCGAGCTACTCTGAGGTTGCAGTTGGAGTTGTCAACACAATGCAGCAGCTTTGATGAGAGTTTCACTAAAAGCACCACGACCAGATGTCTCTGGACGTCTTCCCCTGGTGTAGGACATGCATGCCCGAGTGAATCACTTGGGATGCTTTGTTACCGCCTGCTCAGCAGCCCGCTTGAGCTTTTCCCTCGCTTTGGATTGCGGCGAGTCTTGCATTACTGCGTTACAGATATGTTCAGGATAGAGGGGCTCAACTTGCCTCTTGTACCTGGTGTCAATTTTCAACTGGCGGATGGTGCAGCATTCTGTTCGGAATTTCCAAACGGACAGGTGCGAAAGTTTCGTCCGCGCCTGCTTAATTTGAGCAAGTCAGGAGAACTCCATGAGCGAGTTCAAATCCACAGGGTGGACACCACGAACACTACGACATGGAGCCACCCCACCGAACTGCTTCAATTTCTACTACGAGTCATCAACTAATGCAAATTGGATTGGCGACACCAAGCTGTACACATAAGGCTTGGTGCATCTCCCTTAAGATCCGCGCGTCGAGCGGACCGGCTGCAGCCGGTGGAGTGGTGGCTGAGGGGGGCCAAGGAGCTACCTTGCAGCGAGCATTTGCAACAACATTGCCAAAGGAAGTCTTGATTGCGACGTGCACGAAGAGGGGCGTATGCAGCATGTCGTCAATAAGCGCCGATGAACCGATGCTGAAGCCGTGCAGGATGTTCGTTGCATACTATGGCAAAACCCTACATGTCCCTTTTCATGTGTGGCGATGTTGATCCAAGACACCTGAGAGGATCCTAGCAGCCGTTGACAGCCCTGCACGCCTGAGCTTGCTGAGATGACTTGACCACTGCTAGCCGTGCGGCGTGCCTTGGGCCTACTGTAGGTCAGTTCCAGAGTCACTAAAGTTCGTGATGAAGCCGGGCCGGGGGTGTGTCTCCGAGGAGCTTGAGGAGCGATGTCCCCTGCCTGGCAGATCGCTTTATGTTAACCCAGAGACACGCTGTCGTTTCCAGGCAGGCACGTCTTGCTCGATTGCCGACCTCCGTGCTGAGACGAGTGCAGAACTCAGCACGGCTGTTGAGATCTGCCGTGATCGGAACGCCTCCCAGGGCGGCCGGAGCTTCTCGAGGCAGTCGGGCCAAGGGAACGGCTTTTTTCGCCTTCGCATGCCTTCAAAGTCGTGCCCAGTTGCGATGTGGCCGTGGTGGGTGGCGGCGTCATCGGCACCTCTGTGGCGCTGCACTTGGCCGCGCTGGGCAGGAGAGACGTCGGCATCTCAGAGACGGTCAATCTTCTCGGCATGACGGCCGGAGGGTCCAAGAGGATTTCGTGTCATCGTGCCAGATCGTGGTCTTCGAGCCGGATGCAAAGTACACTTATGCATCGGCACCCCGTTCTGCCGGTGGTTTGAGACAGCAGGTGTCGCGGCATCGGCGTCATGGTATCTTGTTGGACTCATGCCGATTGCAGTTCTCCCTGCCGGTCAACGTGGAGCTGTCGCTTTATGGTGTGGATTTCCTGAAGCATGGTCTTCAAAGGCTCTGTGAAGGCCTGTCAGAAGTTTTGCTCTTGCGCTCAGGTCATCAAGCTTGTTTCTGCATTGAGGTATTGATGTGGACACTGATGTTCAGTTCAAGGACACGTGCTAAGAAGCGAGGGCGAGCCTTCTCCGTTGGGTTGAATTCACAGGGCTTCCGCATGGTGACGATAGCAACTGCTGCGTGGGTCCACAATTCCCCCCCGGTTTCGGCTAGAGAGGAAGGCTTGCGCGAGTCCTCAAAGCTAAACCGTGTGCGGAAACTCTCGTGTGCAAGCGTGTGAAAGTTGTGTTTCCTATGAGGTTGCCCGTTAGGCAAGCTATCGGCATATGCAGTAGCTACGTGTCTCGAGGCAGGATTTTGAAGTAGTTCACCCCGGTCGCAGCCATGTCGACCCACAGTCAGGTCAACCCTGTGCTTTTGACAGCACTGAGGGTGCGTTGTGAAGCGCCAGAAAGCGCCATCATGGACGCTCTGTCCGAGTTTCGTGTAGCTCACCGCTATTCGCCTTGCAGAAGAGCCAACCGCACACAATTCCGAGCTCTTGGTGGGTGCCATCTTTGGTCCACTCCCTGTTAGCCCTACTGCCGCCGACGACAGATGCTTCGGCTGTCTTTGGTGCGAAGCCTGGCCCGCCACAGCCCTGTCAGCACCTACAGCGATCTCTAAGTCAAAGGGAAGTGGCGGATCTATGGCAGCACCTTGCAAAGTGCCCCTGCCAGTGCCGCCCAGTGTTGATGTGGCCGCCTCCAGTTCGGACAATCCCGGTGCACCGCCAGGACAAGCTCCCGAGCCCAAGTTTGAGGCGACCAGTTCGGGCACCGCACCACATGCGCAGCCAATGCCAGGCAAGGCCCAGTCAGCTCCGGCGTCTTCTACCTTCGCAGATGATGCTGGTGCTCCGTCAGCCAAGCCCAAGTCGCAAGTGACGAAGCTGTTCAGAAGCCACGTCCTTGTGCCAGCTGAAGGCTTTGAGGTTTATTGCATGGGTCAGGCCTGCTAGGAAGATTCAAGTTAGTGCTAAGCTCAGCTGAATCCATAGGAGTGCCATGATCGGCAGAAGCCAGCAATGGACTTCCCTTTTCGACTACCCCACTGTCCTATTGGAACTTTCAGTCGATGCTGCTGTGCAAGACGGACCCTCAAAGGTTATTATAGAGGAGCGCACCCACAATGCGCAGAAGCTTCCCGTTCCTGAAGAAGGCCATTGAGACGAACGCCCGTCCGTGACCGGTGGCAACTACGCCACGATCTTCGTGCGCTCACCTCCGTCAAGCCCTGCACATCGGGGCGCGTGCCTAAGTCCCCCGTCACCCTTTTCGTTCGGCAGGAGGCACGTCCAGGACAAAAAGCCAGGACCCGTCAGTGTCGTTTCGCAAGTTAAGAACAGCCTGTACGGACAACCGCCAAAGCATCTCGCGACTCCAGGTTGGCCACGTGGATTCGCTTGTCAAAGAAAAGGGGATTCCAGCCTTTGCCCGTTATTCGTGACTCCATGTTCGGCGTGGGTACCCTCCTTAAGGCGGGAGGATACGGGTCTACCGCGAAGCATCGTGAAGCCAGCTTCCCCCAGGAAAAGGAACCAATGGCATGTAGCGAGTTGTTCGCCTCCCAGGCTTGCGTTACATCTAGCTGATTCATGTTGAGGGGTATTGAAAGGCTGCTACAGGGTACATGCATGTTTGCGCAACCCTGTTCGCGACAGTTCCTGCAAAGACAGCGCCCCGCCCGAGCTGATCGGTGCTCCCTTTCAGAAGTGCCAGTGTGGAGGTGCACTTCACAACTCGTGACACTAACATGCCACAAGGCTTAGCGGGTGTGCCTGAGCCGGAGAATGCGCAGCCGTTTCCTGATGCTCGTCAGCGACCACAGGTTTGGTGCTCGGGTCTAGTGTATGTTGTTCTGTTCGACCCAAAGTATATAACTCTGGTCCAGCGGTCCCTTGGTCTTCCTGTGCCCTGGTCTCTTGGTCCTCTGGGCTTTGCTGACTTTGAGTAGCAGGACAACAATTTTCACGTGGCAGTCTGGCAATAAATAGTATTGCAAGCGCATCTACTGCTAGGAATACGATCATGCTTGTACGCTTACATGGATGCTCGGAGGAGTGGATGCTCAAGGGAGGGCCATTCTTGTTGCGGGAATTTGTCTTTTGCGCCTGTGTCTTTGTTGGGGACTCGTCCGTTTTGTTTTGCTTCGGTGCTAGTGTTTTGGGATCTTCCTTTCTGCTAGACGCTGTTTTCTTTGCTTGTTTTTGTTCTGTTGTTGCTTTCTGCTTGTCAGTTTTTCCGCTTTGCTGACTTTTACTTTTTGTGCTTGTTTTCTGTTTTTCGCTTTCTGTTTTTCGCTGTTTGACTTGCTTGCTGCTTCGTGCTTATGAACGAAGGAAAGAGCGACATACCACACACAAATCAAGGAAAGACCGAGAGCAATAAAGAACGACAGAAAGAAAAACGAAATACGGACAGAACTAACAAACACGAACAACCAAACACTGACGACATGTAAAAAACGAAACCCTGAATCAAAGAACCGGATATGTAGTTTGCATGCACATTTCATAAACATTTTCCCGAGTGTGTGTGTATATATATATATATTATATATATATATATGCGTTTATGTTTATGTATGTATACATGCACATACACATACATATGCAGCTTTTGCATGTGTATATATAAATGTATACACATACGTGCATACAGATGTCATACGTATGTGTGTCCTAATTATCGGTCTGGTAGGTAGGGATTAGGAGGTCAGTTTACGGATAATAAAAACAACCGCGATCTGATCTTTCCATGACCATGTTGGCGATTAGCCGATCGGCCCGGGTTTTGGATCGTCGGCGTGGGGAAAGTTAGATCCTCTTGGCCAGCAATGTCGTTCGCTGCAGCCGGCCCCTATCGCAGCCCAGACCTTGTTGGTGGTCGACGACAGGGACGAACGGCTGATCAGCCCGTTCCAGAATTGTCCCGTGGACGAGATCATGTCCAATGCCGCGAGCTCCATCAATGTGCTCACGGAGCGAGACTAAGTGAGGCCGCCGAATTCTGATTATGCTGTTCGCTGTTCGCGAACTACACGCTCAACGACATCAAGGCGGTTTTGGTGTTCACCATGTCGTCCAGGACCGGAGGGCCCTGTGCTCCGTGGGATTCGTACGCCAGCTCGGCTTGGTCCCAGTCGGCTTTTCAGCGGCTCACTTGGTTTGTGATGTTCGATACCGATCGGACTCTGATCTGTCAGTCCAGCAACGGTTAGGGGTGGTTGAGGCCCTTTGTCGTGATCTCGGTCTTTGTCGGCTGGAAGGTCTCCGTGATGTCCTTCGAGGTCGGGGCGAGCGTCTACTCGATCGGACCTCGCGCTCGGATGGAGGGGCCTGACCACGTGAGCTCTCGGTGGTGGTCGCTCCCTGGAAGACGCAGGCACCTCCGCGGACTCTTTCCCACTCGATGGAGAAGGTAATTTCCACGTGAGGGTTTGCTCCAGCCTGAACGTTAACC